TTTTTTTTTTTTTTGCATTATAAACGTCAACAAATTTGAATGCAACTACGTTCGCCTTAACACAGATCTGGTCTATAATAATAAGCTACTGGAGTGGGTGATTAAAACTAGAGCAATGTGAGCTCTCTCTATTATTATTATTCCCGCAAACTCGCCTTTTTATAGAGCGAAGAGTTCAAACAAACCATAAACACTATATTTATATTGCATTTACTTACCAAACAAGTTATATGCCCGGCTTGCAACAACCTATGGCGATGTTCTCTGGATCCCAAAATCAGTTTCCTTGACCTGCAGCTGACCCTCGCAACGCAAACTAGTAGCAAACGAGCTGCGAATTAAGCCACTGAACAACAAAACGCACCTTGAATCTGTCAGTAAAGGGCCAGACGCGAGAGAGGCAGATGAGGCTGATTATGCAGGTGTAGGGTAAACAGGCTGGCGGAGTGTGAGAGCACTTGATGCGGAGGGGAGTTGGTGGAGGACGGGAGGAGGAGGAGGCGTTAGCCGCCGTTTGGGCGCACACGAGCGGGAAACACTAATGCCGCATGAACATCTGATTAACCTCTTAAGTGTCACCTCCCGTTTTTGAACATAGACGTGAAAGTGCACTGTCCAAACTTACATTGTTATAATTAATGAGAATTAAAGAACTATTTTTAAAGAAGACAATCGTCATTTTATTGTACAAGTGGAATCATTTCAAAATATTTGAAAATATCAAAAAGTTTAAATTTACTGTAAAGAAAATGCACTGTACAATTTTTATTTTATTTTATATAAATATAATAAATATTTTACATAACAGGTTTTACACTAAAATTACTATAAAATTAAAGCCTTATGTCTAAATAAGTTGTTATGGAAGCCCGTTTCCGCCACTGAATAAATTTTTTTTTAAAAGGTAGTCTAATTGTGACTTTTTATCTCACAATTCTGACTTTTTTTCACAGAATTGCGAGTTTATATCTCTCAATTATGACTTTTTAACTCGCAATTGCAAGTTAATATCACTCAATTCTGAGAAAAAAGTCAGAATTGTGAGATAAAAAGTCGCAATTACCTCTTTTATTTTTTATTCAGTGGCGGAAACGGGCTTCCATAAGTTATATTTCAAATTTGAAGTTGATATAAAAACAAAAAATTGAGGTGCCTGTGAGAGTTTATGTGGGGCGTTATACCACAAACAGCCACCGGGTGACACCCAAACCCAAATTTTTTTTATGCATTTTTCTGTCACAAATGTCTACCTTTCTCTGTCAATATTACTTCTATCACAAAACAACCGCCAAATAGGGAATCTTGAGACTCAGACCTTTCCAACTATATGTATTTTGTCAAGATTATAAAAAGTTTTGATTGTAAAATACCGTAATACATTTTGTAACATGACACTTGACACTAAGGCTGCACGATTAATCGAATGCGATTGTCATGCGCATCTTGTCAGTGAAGCCGGTTCTGTGATTAGTAGTAAATCATCATCACGTGCTTTCAGATGGAGCAGCGTTTACTACACAGAGCCGTAGTTCACTGACAAGTTACGCAAAAAAATAAAAAATAAAATCGCAGACGATTTTATTGCGCGATTATGAAATCGAAGAAATCGTTCTGCGATTATGAAAGCTGTTTGCGTAGCTTGTCAGTGAACTACGGCTTTGTGTAGT